AGATCCTACGGCTGTTAAATGTCACATTGGTATGTGGTAGGGCAGTGTTTTGTTTTGACATAATTTTAATTAGATATAAATTATCTAGTGATTATAATGTATTTTATTTGAAGTGATAGATAGTAATGATAAAAAGATATTTTAGGTTCTCTATTGGGGGGTGTGGGCCACACCCAGTTGTGCTCAGGCTAACTGTGTGCATAGGAATCACTCCTGGCATGACTCGGGGGACCGTGTGTGGTACTGTGGACGAATTCAGGTCAGCTGCATGCAAGGCAAACACCCTAGCACCATTGGGTGTGGTCCAAAACCAAAAACCCAAAAAACAAAAGACAAGAAAAAAAATTGAAGACCAACCAAACAACAACAAAAAAATGCTCTTTGTCCTGAAGCCTATTTTGTAGAATGTTAACACAGACATTGTAACTTTGTTATCCCTTTCCCTTCCCCTCCCAGCCTGGATCCGTGCATGGGAGGCAAGTGCCTTACCTATATCACTAGCACTCTACAAGAAGTCCTGTCCTCCACAGCTTCTTACTCAGTGTCATGGCATACTTTTTCCTAGTATTTTGCTTTCATTATACAAGTATCTTTCTGTATTTTAACTGTGGTTGTAAGTAACTATTTTAAGTAAGTCTAAAATACTGGTGTATTCAGTTTTTATAGTTGATTTATGTCAGGGGCTGGATATGGTAGTGTAGGGGTCAGGCATTTGCCTAGCAGTCCCTGCTTTTTAATCCCCAGCTCTGCATTTGGACTCCCAAGCATTGTGAAGTGTGATCCTTGAGCACAGAGCCAGGTGTGAGGAACAGTCCTCAAAAAAATGAGCAAATGCAGCTTTTAATTTTTGCTTCTGTGTTTTGGGCCACACCAGATTGTGCAAGTGGGTCGCTCATGGTGGTGCTTAGGGAACCCCATTCTGCTTCTCCAACCCAATTCAAGGCCTCACAGTTGGAAGGCAAGTGCTCTACCACAGAGTGACGCCAAGGCCCTGTACTGCTTTTTAAATTAACTAAATGGGACTTTGGGTAAATAATTCTACATAACAAAATTTGCTGGTTTTGTAAAGTAATATTTTAAGTTATAATATTTCAAAAAAAATTTTAGTTAAAAAACCAACCTGGTTCTCCCTCTCCAGCTCCTGGCAGCCAACTTTATGACTTTGATTAAGTACCTCAAGAAAATGGAATGAAACACTGTTTGTTTCAGACTGGTTTAATTTTATATAAGATTATATCAAGATTCGTGAAGTGATGAATTATGTATCAGGTTTTTTCTTTCTTTTAAAGACTAATGTTCCATTGTATGTATATATAATGTTACCTATTCTTTCACTGATAGACATTAGGGTTGCTATCACATTTTAGCTATGATGAATAATGTTATGAAAATGAATGTGTATATATTTGCTCTAGTTCCTGCTTGCACTTTTTCTGGGTCTATACACAGAATTCAATTTGGTGCTTTCTATGGTAATCTATAAAGTGCTGAGCACATGCCTTGTATGTCTGAGAACTGGCTTGACCTCCACCACAGCCTGAGTGACCCCCAACACAGCTTCTGAACACCTCCAGGTGTGACCCAAGAGCAAAAAACAAAAACAACTTGCCAATCCACATATTTCTAAAGATATTTTTTCTCCACTGTTTATGCAGTTTTATATTCTCAATTGCTGTGCACACAGGTTTCGATTTTCCAGGAACTAAACCAACACTTGTTAGACATTTTAATGGTGTGAACTGGTATCTTGGGGGATTTATTTATAAAGGAAATGGTATAATTTAATCCAGATAATAAAGACTAGCCCAGTCTTGAGGTGGAAGATTTTAGGAATTTTTGTTTGTTTTTGTTTATTGTTTTGGAGTTACTTTGTGCTCAGTGATTTGGTGTTACTTTGGTTCAGGGAACCATGTGGTACTTTCTGGCCTGATTTTGAAAGAACGGTTTTGTGAATTATTTGATACATTTTTTTTTCAGTGAAGCAAGATGGTTTTTATTGAATGAAACAAGAAAGATGCAGGGGGTGGGTGGAGAAGGAAAGGAATACATGTCCCAGAGAGAACCTGGGTTTGAAAGAGCAAGCAGTTGAAGAGACGGTATAGAGACTAGCAAGTGAGGCACATGTTCTGAGGTGAGCAAGGGCTGGAAAAGCAAGCCTCTTTTGTGACTTTCTTAGCCTGTGTTTACATCTGTGCATTCATTGTTTCCGGAGTACAAAATGAGTGTTGGGCTTCTGAAAAAGTTTTCTTTCATTTTATCTTACTTGTGCCAAATCAAATTCATATTTTGTATGGAGGAATGGCTGGATCTTTATTTATTATTTTTTATTAAAATGTCTAATAATCGATCAATCAGGATTGGCGAACTGATCTAGTACGTTAAGTGCTTGTCTTGTGTATGGATGACCTGGGTCTGATTCACAACACCACGTTTGGTCCCTCGAACTCTGGCAGAAGTGATCCTGGGGCACAGAGCCAGAAGTAAGCTCCTAGCTTTGCTGCTGTGCTCTCCCCACCAAAACAAAAACAAATGCCCCCCCCCCCCCCCAAGCCCCGGATCAGCTTAAAGTTTGAACTGAGTGGTTCCCCCAAACAAAAAGTAAACACTGCAATTTATTTTCACCCAGTGTGATTTTTAAACTGTAGTCTAATGAGTTCCTTTTGTTTTCAGAAATGAGTCGAAAACTTTTCCTATTTAATTCAAAAATTTTAGCAGAACTTCATTAAACTTTTTAATGTTTATGTTCTATAGCATCTACGTTTCACCTGGTTCATCATTCTTGCTCGAATTTGCATCAGGTCATATTTGATAGAGTCATTAGCTAAAACCTAGTAACCATTTTGGAAAGCTACTGTGGCAGAATGCCTCAATTGTAGTTTAATAATGAACTGAGTGCCAATCTCGGGTACCTGGATAGGTTAGGACATGGCATCTTAGCATGTACTTTGACAGTCTTAGCATAATTTGTCCAACAGCTTTTTTCCTTCCCGTCTCAACAATTTTAAGTTAAATATTGAGCTTTGTGTCTTATATTGTACCTGGCATTATGAATATAGAGTAAGTTCTGCCCTTAAACTCATTGCTTTATAGACGGAGATAGAGATTCATAAATAAAATTGTGTTGATCTAATGTATTAGAGGTGTAGAGATCTTGTAGAGGAAAGAGTGATGAATTATTTGTTACAGGAGAAGCAGCAGAGAATTTCTATAACATCTGAGGTAAAATTTAAAGGTACAATGAGTTGTTCAGCTTATCTGTTTGCTGACCTCACTGTCTGTAGATGATACAGGGAGTAACATCAGAAAGTAGAGTACGCACAGGCTGATGAAATAATATGATATGTTTAAGCAGTTTATTCATCTTAGACAGAGTGTTGGAATAGATGAGGTTTTCTTTTCCCTCAATATCAAATTGTGACTGAAAATTGTAGAAAGATAAATAATAAAAGACTCAATTTTAATATGAAATTATAAAATTAGGATGACAAGCATTTTATTTGTTTCTAAAATATCTTTTTTCTCTCTTTTCTTTCTTTTTCCTTTTATTTTTATTTTTTAAACAGGAGCCATCTCCCTGTACTTGCTTACTCCTGTTGATTCGTTGCCTGGTAGTATGAACCTGATAGTTTGGTACTTGGGCCCAAAAGGGCTTAGATACCACCAGGCCCACGTCCTGTGGTGTTGGGTATGGGTTGTATGGTGTCAGGAATTGAACTCGGGGTTTCATACATGCTCGCATGTTGTTCTGCTGCTTGAGCTATTTCTCCAGCTTCTCCTCTTCTTCCCTTCTTGCCTCTAGAGTGAGCGTGTAGGGCTATGTTGTGTATAGGCCCGAAAAATGAGGAAGGAAGAAACAATCAAGACTGTTGGGCTGATAACTCAAGAGGTGTAGCACGTGCTTAGTAAGGATAAGGCCCTGAATTCTAGCCCCAGTACCACATGGCCCTCTCTGAGAAAAATTAAGACATTGGTTCTGGTGCTGGTTTTTATATCATTGATTGAGCAAACCACTTTCCTGTTTCTGAGCTTTATGGAAACTACATGGTGTGTATTTTTGAAAATATTTTTAAAGAAAATTAAACTTCTGAGTATCTGGAAAACTTCTGAGGTATAAGAATATTAAAAAACAAAGAGAATAAAAAATTGCAGCAAAACAAGCAATAAAAGATTTATGTGCAAGGCTGGAGAGAGTATAGGGTAAGGTGCTTGCCTTGCACAAAGCTAAAACAGGTTTGGTCCCTGGTACTGCATAGGTCCCCTGAGCACTGCCAGGAATGATCCTTATGTACCACCTGGCGTGGTTTAAAACAAACATAGACAGACATTGCTTCCCAGCATGTATTTATGATCTAAAAGTTGGGTGGTTTAAATTTCTAAATCGTACTGCCTTGATTCGTGAGGTTTCATGCTACAGATACCAGTGTCGTTGTACACAATATTCTATTAGATGTGACTGTCATGTGCTATTATTATTATGTAGTTAGAAGTAATACGTGTTTAAAAGTATTCTGTTCACTCTGTCTGCTTCTCCCTCGCCCTCTTTCTCCTCTCTCTCTCTCTCTCTCTCTCTCTCCCTCCCTCCCTCTCCATTCTCCCCTTCATTTTCTCCCCACCCCTGACTGCTCAGGGCTTACTCCTATTCTGTGCCCAGGAGTCATTCTTGGAGGTGCTCCGGACACATATGTGGGAGGGTATCAAAGTCTGGGTCAACTCTGTGCAAGGCAAGTACTCTACCTGTGTACTATCTCTGTAGGTTATTATTCTTTTTAATTTGACCATGACAGGAGTTTTTAGGATCTTGATTTTTCCTATTTAATAGAGTTACAAATGAACTTTTCGTGTAAACTCACTTTTCTCAATCCTAAGGAAGGTTTCTTCTCATACAGCTTTTCCAGTGGTACTGGCAAAATGCATTTGGAAGCAGAAGTTTATAAAAGTCCATTTTAATGTTACAGAGTTCGATACTATATTGTTAACTTAATTTGTTTCTTTATTTCTAGGGGTCCTATTGGGCAATAGATACCAATCCGAAGGAGGATGCATTGCCTACTCGGCCAAAGAAGAGAGCACGATCTGTAGAACGGGTAAAAGCTCTTTCTCACAAATTCAGTGTAATAGAGTTATTTTGTTATAATTTAGATTTTAAAGGATTATTTACTTTTTTTTCTTGTTTTTTGTTTTCAAAATACTTTTTAGGCTTAATTTTTTTTTTTAATTTTTATTAGTGAAACACCATGAGGTTCAGTATTGTAGACTTGCATGTACTTGGGTTTCAGTTATACAATGAATGAGTACCCATCCCTCCACCAGCGCCCGTTCCCCACCTCCAATGCTCCCAGCATCCCTCCCACCCCCCCATCCCACCCCACCCCTGTGGCAGGGCATTCCCTTTTGTTCTCTCTCTCCTTTTGGGTGCTGTGGTTTGCAAAAGAGGCACTGAGTGACTGTCATGTTCTGTCTATAGTCTATTTTCAGCATGCATCTCCCATCCTGGGAGGGTCCTCCCAACACCCTTTACTTGGTGCTCCTCTCTCTTTCTGAGCTGCCTTCTCCCTCAGCATGTGCGGCTGGCCTCCACAGGCTTAATATTTTTCTTTAAGTGAGGTGCACAGTTTTGAGTAAATTATGTAGAAGCAGTTTTGTTTTTTATGTGCATAATCAGGGCCTAGCTGTTGTGTGAGACTTGAATTCAGGTTTCTTAATTTTAATTTGGTGTGTTCTGCAGGAGTGCTAGTTGTATAAAATAATTCCCTTTCATTTTAGATAATCTGGTTACATTGAATTTTCCTGATTTTCTGTATAGGGCTTTATTTTTCAGCCTTGTAGTAGTTTATACATGGGACCAGAGAATTAGTACAGCTGTTAGGTCTCTTGCCTTTGCATCCCATATGGTCCCCTGAGTAGTGCAAGGAGCGATTCCTGAATGCAGAGCCTAAGCATGGCTGATGTAGCCCAACCCCTGCCCCCTCACAAAGCCCTGGGGAAAAAGTAGCAGTTTATACATTTAAATACATAGATCTCTAAGTGTGATTTTGATTTTTATGATGATTCTTGCTTATAAACTTGGGTAAAATTTTATTTGCAAGAAAGAAAAAGCAATTATAGTTAATATCCTGAGTTGATTTTAATGTAATTTTTAGTCAGTACTCAAGCTATCAAGAATATTAACTTTATTCTTCAATTTTTTTTCTATATTTTTTAGGTCTCAACCAAATATCTTGTGCACTATCCTACTATACAATTCTTTGAGACCTATTTAAAATGCTGATGATTCTGTGAAGAATTTTTTAATGTTTTTTATTTTTCTTTAATTTGGGGTTCAAGATTTGGGGTCACACCCAATAAATGTACTTCTTGTTCTGTGCTCAGGGGTACTCCTGGTGATACTCACTAGCAGTGCTAGATATCAAACTGGAATTTACCTCATGCAAGGTACCTATACGGTCTCTCCAGCCACCTCATTTGTATTCTTGAATAAGGTAAAGGTAAAGGTAAAGGCCCTCCCGTTGATCGTCGATTTGCTCGAGCGGGCCCAGTAACGTCTCCATTGGAGACTTTGTTGTTACTGTGTCTGGCATATCAAATACTCTCGGTAGCTTGCCGGGCTCTCCGAGAGGGGCGGAGGAATCGAACTCGGGTCGGCCATGTTGGCCGCTTGTAAGGCGAACGCCCTACCCGCTGTACAAAATTCTTTTTATAGAATTTTTTTACATTTGTCTCATCATCCCTTTCTTAAGGGCACAGAAAATATCTTAAATTTCCCCAGGGTTACTGTCTTTTTTTTCTTTTCCCACAGCTTGTAGTGTATTAGTAAGTGTTCGGAGAATATGCCAGGGCAAAGGAAATGGAATTTGTTTAAGGAATCTGAATAAACTTAGTTTAAAGTTGTTCTATGATCATTTATGTTACGGAGATAAAATTTGTCAGACTCAAAGAAAAGAAACTTGAACTGAATTTAAATTGCAATCGAGTGATTGCATGAAGAATAGCAAATTTGTGGAGCCCACACAGGAATTCAGTATTCCACTTGGCAGGCTATGTAGAATTAAGACTAGATTAGTAACGAACCAAAGCTTAAATTTAAATTTTAGTACTTGAAGCACAGATGCTATTTCAGTGGTATGGTGTAGGACTTTGGACCACAATCTGTGGTGGTCCAAATCTACTGTGTGTTTGGGGGTTGCTGCTGGCTGTGCTTGGGGGACCTTCCAGTTCTGGAGATCAAATCCTGGCCTTACACATGCATAGTATGCACTCAGTGCTTTGAGCTATCTCTCTGTTCCCTTGTATAGAATTTTAAGACTATGATGTTGATGAATTATTTATGTAATGATTTGAGAAGAAATGCACCTCAGTTCAGCTTTCCAGCCTCTCTGCCTTTTAAAATAGACTTTGTGCAAATACAAGAGGGTCATGGAAACAGTAAACAAGATAGACAAACCATTTACTCCCTGGAAAGATATAGAAAAAAAAAAACAGAGGATCAGAGATGAAAGAGACTGTAAGACTCCTCAGAAATATGAAAGATCATAAGAGGTTATTATGAATAACTGCTATCAACCTGGAGAAATGAATGAATATAATCTCCCACAACTGAACAGGGGAGAAGTAGGAAACCTGAACAGACCAGTTACAAACAAGAAAATGGAAATAGTAATAAAGTCTCCCCAGAAATGAAAGACCTGATCTAGAAAGATTTACTGGTGACTTCTATCAAATCTTCAAAGACTTACTACCTGTAATTCCCAAGCTCTTTCAAAATACTAAAGATACAGGAATTTTTTCAAACAGCTTTTATGAAGCTCACATTTAACTTGTTACCTAAAGCAGATAGCGATATTACTAAAAAGGAGAATATCAGACCAATTACACTGATGAACATCGATGTCACAATACTCAACAAAATTTTAGCAAACTGAATCCAATAGTATACCCCACAATTAAGTGAGATTCAAGCCGTAGGGGTGCAAAGGTGGTTCAAACATCTGCAAATCAATCAGTACACCCTGTCAATTAAAGATAAAATCTTAAAGTTCTATCAGTTGATACATCACCTGTTTCATGTTAAAAAATAAACCCTCAACAAGATACGAATAGAAGGAAATGCCCTCAAGATTTTAACAAGCATGTACAAAAATTGCACAGCTAGTATTACACTCAGTGGGGAAAAACGAAGCTTTTCCTCTGAGATCAGGGCACAAGGCAAGGACATTCACTTTCCCCATTATTTATCAAAATTGTACGGGAAGTCCTAGCAGCTGGTTTTAGGCAAGAAAAAGAAATCAAAGGAATCCAGTCGGAAAGAAGTCAGATTGTCTCTATTTGCAGATGGTAGGATAATATATGTAGAGAACTCTATAGAACCCAATAAAGACTTTTTTTGAGAAACATTAAGCCAGTATAGCAAAATCAAGACACAAAAATCTGTTGTATTCCTGTATACAAATAACAAACTAGAAGAGAAAGAGCTCTGAAAGAGGTACTTCATTTGAGGCTAGAGGGATTTCTGTGTAGTTAATCCCAAATTTTATGCATATTAGCTGACAATCTTTATAGCAACTCTTCAGTGATAAAATAGAGACATGAGCATTAAATGTTCCAGGGATATCAAGGACAGTGGGTTTCAGGGCAGGATTATGAATCCAGGTATGCTCTGTGCTGTCTCTGCCTTGTCAAAGTCTACAACACTGAATCAGATTCCTTTTTTGTATACTAATCTTGTGAGCTGGGCTGGAGTGATAGCACATGGGTAGGGCATTTGCCTTGCATGCAGCCAACATGGCCGGCCCAAGTTCAATTCCTCCGCCCCTCTCGGAGAGCCCAGCAAGCTACGGAGAGTAGCTCGCCTGCAAGGCAAAGCCTGGCAAGCTACCCGTGAAGTATTCGATATGCCAAACACAGTAACAAGTCTCACAATGTTACTGGGCCCTCTTGAGCAAATCGATGAACAACAGGAGGACAGTGACAGTTTTGTGAGCTAATGGTTCCTGATTTTAAAAGAGAATCTCCCACATAGAACTTTAATACATTCGTATTTGCTTACACTGGTATGATTATGAATAGTTTGTAGTAAATTAGGATAAGCAAGAATAACTAAAGTGACTCAAAATAGTATTATGTTACTGGACCCCTTTTATATGATCCTGGTGTATAGGTATATTAAATAAGTATAAATCCTGTCTGGTTATGTAACTCATTAGTAGAACTCCTGCCTTGTATGTGTGGGGCTCTGAGTTTGATGCTGGCACTTCAAAAACAAACAACCTCCTCCCCCCCCCGCCCAGAAAAAAATTTACAGGTGTATAAATCAAACTTTTCCTGATAATAAATCAAAGTAAATTTATCTTAAAACAGATTTGTAATTTTTTTTTAGATGTGCATATCGAACACAGTAACAACAAAGTCTCCAATGGAGACGTTACTGGGCCCGCTCGAGCAAATCGACGATCAATGGGAGGGCCTTTACCTTTACCTTTACCTTTTAGATGTGCACTCCCTCACCACACACACACACACAACACACACACACTTTTATGTGCTCAAGAAGGAGAAATTACTGTGACTGTCTTGGAAGGCTTCATAGATTATATGACATGGCTTTAAGGTGAAGATAGGCAGGATACATTAGGGAATATAGTCATAAGCATAGCTAGCTTCCTTCCTTCCTCTTTTCCTCCCTCCTTCCCTTTCTCTCTCCCTCCCAAGCCCAATTAGCATAGTTTGATTGACTACTGAAAGTTAGGCACGAGTAGACACTGTTCTAGGTGCTAGTGAAATAACAGTGAACATAATATATGTACTCTATTCTTTTTTTAAAAAAAATTTTATTAGTGAATCATTGTGAGGTACAGTTTCAGATTTACATGTTTTCGTGCTTGTGTTTCAGTCTTATAATGCTCAAGTACCCATCCCTACACTAGTGCCCACCACCAGTGCCCATCCCAGCATCCTCCCCCCCCCCCGCCCACCACACACACACACACACACACACACACACACACACACACACACACACACACACACTCCGCCTCTGCGGCAGGGAATTCTCTTTCGTTCTCTCTCTCCCTTTGGGTGTTGTGGTTTG